TCTAATGAGAAATATCTGATTGTTTGTAACATCAAGGAAGACAATTTCGTGAATGCGGATACGAATATGAATACCAAGAAATATGCGAATATTCGCTGTAATCTTTGGCGAACTATTTGTAGGTGGCACATGTTAATATGACATTGACCTATCTCAGGATTTCGCATAAATATCAGCAATGATCACTAGGAAAACGAAAAAATTAAATCAGTTCTGCCTTCCTAATTCCTCAGTAATCTTGTTTTTTATATCTTCTACCCTACAGATGCACCACAAGTCGATCTCATATTTCATGACGTGGAATTCCAAATGGGGAAGTTAGGTCCCTAATAACGCTTGAGCGTTTCTCTCTATGTACATATTTCCGTTTTCTGTTAGGTAGTTTGAATCTATACATATCAGTGGACGTCACAATAATTTATATGTATATACTTTTGACAACTTTTATGTTAATCCTGTTAATCTCTCCGCATAAATCGTATTCAGGTGTTGCGTGCTTAATTAAGCTCGGCTTAAAAATCTCAACTTGAATACCAGCGAAACGCAGCAACTGATTTTATGCGTGGGATTAATAGGTACTTACTGGCGATTTACATTTAGTGACAACTGCAGCGTAGGAGGTGAAAGAAATATGCATGAATTGTTGGAATTTATTCCACTATCCTAACACCCTAGTTTCCTGTATACAAGGGGTCTCATGCGTAAGTCCATAGCTTTTGTACAATGACCGCTTACATAACTATTATCACATTTCATCAGGAAAATGTCATTGAAAAACTGACAAATAGTGATCAGTCAGTATTTATCATGGAATCTTGTCTTTATTGATAGTGTAGCCTAGCCAGTAATAATTAGGGATGCAGAGATTATTACTTTTCCCAAAAAGCCGAGTTCCGAATATTCGGCCAAATTCCATTATTAAGTTTATGTTTGAATTCTATTGTCAACATTGATTTACTTTTCCCAAAAATTAACGCACCACCAAAAAATCAATTGTGCTACATGGACGACTTTTTTATATTTACGTATTTTCAGATAATACGAGTATGTTGTTCGAAGAATTAGTCAAATGCAACAAGCTTTGGCTTTGCATTTTTAGAACATTTTTGATATACTCTTCTCTGATCCACATTTGAGACAGCTTTAACATGGTAGAAAAGTAGTTTTTAACTTGTGGAACGAATCTTTTAATTTTCACTCGAAAGTTCTATCCTTGACGTCTTAAACCTACATTTTTGTTGAAGGTCGACAAAGCCAGCATAGGCTCAAATTTCTAAAACTTATTCATTAGGATTTAAATTCTATAGGTTTTTAGTTGCCTTTGGGAGGAGGTTACAAAATACGCTCAAATTAAAACTGTTTTTGTGGTGTGGTAGAACTAATTAAAATTTGGGAAGAATTAAATCTAAAATATTCTTAGCTATTAAGATTTTCTTAGCAGAACCGCAGAAAACTCGTTATTGACTCCTTTTGCCACATTTTTTTTCTGTGGTTTTTGTTGTTTTTTGATACTAAAAGGAATGAACTGATTCATGCAAAAATTTGTAGTAGCTTTGGCTATACTTTTAAGGTCTGGAAAAAAGGTTCATATGTTAAAACTGCTCGATGTCGTTACGGCACCAATTCAGACTTAAGAAGAACTAAACGTACGGGTTTCTCTGCATAAATGCGGGAAGTTCGTTTCTCACGTTATTCTTCGACTGGGTACCCGGTAAAGTGGATCGTGTATGCCGGGTACAGACTGAGTACTCGGTGCATCACAACTACAGAAGGAGCTCTCTAGCTCTAAATAGTTAACCAAGCATGTGCTTAATCGAAGCAATTATGAACATCTTCTATAGCTTGATAAGCTATTTTTAGAATACAAAAAAGCTGCCCCAAATTCTGGTAATTAATGTGATTTGCGGGTAACCGAGCGTTATCCATAAGTGCTGATTAAAAATTGATATTGGAAAAAACTCTTGGTCGAGTTGTTCAGATTGAAGTCACGCGAGTGGGGTAAAAATACCGATTGTTTGCAGTTTTAACAAGCACAAATTGGTTTCTTCAATATCATTGTGGGTTAAACGGGAAACCGCGAAGAGTATTTATGAATATATTTATTTTTAGGGTTTCATTTGTACAAGGAAACTATGCGTGCTATAGAATACGTTAAACGTTATTCCTCTTGAGGTTTATCATTGTCATTGATAGTCATATGGTAGTTGTAGCCCTATCTAGCGGTCCATGATTTCTCTCAATACTGTTGTATCTCTACTGGCAACAAGAATAGGGATTACAAAATCATTTATACAACAATATACAAACATGAAAAATATGATTTGAACCATGAAACATTAATACAATTTTAATAGTTTGAACTTTTTTCATTTTTGGAATACTCTTATGTGGAATCCGCAGCTATTTTTCCCGAAATTTGGGTGTTTTAAGTGGCAGACTAGCATTATGCTAAACTTCGCCCCCTAAATAAAGACGATTTATTATTATTATTATTATAATATCGGCAAAAATATATATCGCCAATTTGCTGGATACTGAGCGCCACTAAAGTTGCCAAATCGCCAAGCTAACAATTTTAGTCGCCATTTGAAGTTGTCAAATCGCTACTTTGGCGAAAAATCGCCACGCCTGGCAGCCCTGCCGTCCATGCGTTGACGACCCAGACGACCTCTTACTGCATGGTGGGGGTTATTCAGTAATAGTCCAGTTGAATTTTAAACCCTGAGCTCGCTTGTCAGTTTGGCGTTCACCGACTTTTCCGAATGAACTAGTTTAAGTGGAGTAATTTCTCTTCAGTTGCATGACGATTGACTGGATAAGTGAGGTAAGTGTGTGTACATTTTAGAATTGAAGTTAATTAAATATTTTTCCGTATATTTCATTGGAGACAAGAAATTATGGACGAGCCATTTATCGGAAGATGCATCAATTTTGTGTATTTTCGATTTTAATAGGATGACAATTTTTATTATTATGTTTCTGTTCAATTAACTTAACTCTGAAATGTACACACACATACTTATAGTCCTTCCATTATCAATGATTGGAAACGCAAAAAATCCCTGACCTGCACAAAAAGGTGTGAAATCCTATGCAGATAAGTTGTAAGTACAGCAGAGCCGTGTCTACACGTCAAGCTAACGCACACCGATACATTGGGACTAGGACTAGACCAATGAGCAGTATTATTCGTTTCCACAGCGAGTGTGCAGAGAAGATATCGTCAAATGCTCATAACAATCGGTCATTGTCTATTCTTTACATATTTGCGTTGGCGTATGTTAGCCCAACGCATAGACGCCGCTCAAGAACTGCTATAAATCTCTTATCATGGTCGTAGATCAAGAACTACCGGTGATCAAACTGATTAGCCAGGATGCTTATGAAAATAACGTGGAGCCTCGAAAATGAGTCTTTTGATGACTCATTGGGCTTCTACAACCTGTAATGTATTCTTATCATTGCGACTCATTTATATACACGTTCACACCTTTTTCGCAGCTCTAGGTTTTTTGTCGTTGTTCCAATTGTAAATGAAAATACTATACCTCACTTATCCAGTCAATCGGTAAGCGGCTGAGGAGACATTACTGCATCTTGTACTCTACTTAAACGCATACATTTCAAAAATTCATTGATATGCATACGTCGGTAAACGCCACAACTACAAACGAGCTTATTATTCGAAATCGACTGGCATATCACTGAGAGTGAGACACTGCTCGTCCGCGTCAACGGTGCGGCGGCTGGTGATATGTGTACGCCGTCCTTGACCACGCAACTCGCAATCCCCTCACGGTCAAACTATCAGCAAGCTCTAGCACGAAAACTACGCACTTTAGCAAAAAATTTACAAAAACCTTTTTTGATGGCCCAGAAATTAGAAAAACTTACGTTTTAAAAAAATTCCATATATCCTCGCCGTTTCAGCGAAAAAGAGGTTTTTTGGGTTTTTCGCTGTTTTACAAAAACGGCTGGTTTTCGGAAAACCAAACTCTTGCAACAATATTCCCAAGCCTTTATTACACTATTACGTCAGCGGGCATAACTTTGTGGCTATGTTATCACTTTTGCAGGCTATTTAACTGAACTATAGCGTTGGCCTGCAATTAGACACATTATGAGCAGTAGCAAGAAGATGAAGACATACCATTTCCATTCGGAATGGGAAGAACAATATTTCTTTACAGAAGTTAAAGGTAAAAATGTATGTTTGTTATGTAATAAATCTGTTTCCGTTGCTAAAAAAGGGAATATCGAGAGGCACTATAAAACTGGACATACGAATTTTGAAAAATCATTCCCATGTCGTTGACACCTCTCAGATGGCCGTGTTCGTCAGGATAGTTTTTAGTGATTATACGATTAAAGAAGATCTGTTGAAGTTTATTCCACTAAAAGGACAGACTACTGGGCAGGGTTTGTTTTCGTTTTTTTAACAATACTATTTCTTCTGAGAAAATTCCAATATCGAAAATGGTAGGCTTGACAAGCGATGGCGCTCCAGCTATGGTGGCTCGTGATAAGGGTCTCTTGGGGTTATGTCGTAAAGATGAAAGTTTTCCGCAATTTCTCTGTTACCACTGCATTATCCATCATCAATCGTTATGTGGACATTTTCTAAAACTAAACAACGTTATGAAATTGGTAGTAAAAATTGAGAACAAGATTAGAGCTCAAGCGTTACAAAGAAGATTATTCAAAACCTTGGCCGATGAATACGGGGAAATACTTCTTCACTCTGAAGTCCGATGGTTAAGTAGGGGACGAATGCTGAAACGTTTGAAAGATATCATATCTGCCGTAGTTTTTTTTTATACTCCAACTACCTCGAAGACCTAAGGCCTAAACACCCATTGGGTACCGTGGGGCTATAGGGGGATACAGGGGAAAACAACGTGATGAACCGCTTCTGGAACTGTAAATTTCAATCTGGCTCAGATTTTGGTATTCTTGTAGATATTACAGGAACATTAAACGAACTTAATTTACAGCTTCAGGGGAGAGACAAAGAACTAGCAGAAATGATTTCTGATATAAAAGCGTTTATCAAAAAGCTTGAGTTTTGGGAACAAAGCTTAATTGATAGCGATACCAGTCATTTTCGTGTTCTTTCAGAAAAGATATCTCAAAGTCCATTAGAACCATATGACAGTAAATATCATGTAGAAATAGTTTCTAACTTGAAGGATAAATTCAAAACTCGTTTCAAGGATTTTAATGAAATTGCTATAGTGGCGCAATTTGTTGTTTCACCGATCAGGGAAATTGATATCCAACAGTTTGCAACTTCTGTTACGCAGAATTTTAGCGAAGACATCGCTGCGACAAAAATGGAAGTGATTGCGTTTCAAAATGATCTAGCTTCAAAATCATTAGTCTCAAATACAAAATGTATCTGGCCTTCAGTAAGTGAAGGTAAATATTCAGTTTTATGTTGTTTAGTTTAACCTATTTGGATTTGGATAATTGTATTCGAATGGCGGAATCAAATTATACTCCAAACATTAAAAAAATATCAGTGAGTCTGAGTGTCAGGCATGTTTTATCTGGACATGTTTTTGTTCAAAATAGAGCGTTGCTTTTTTATTTTTAGTCACCCTTATTAAATCGTATGTGACATGCCATTGCTGCTGACGGAAAATTTTGTTTATTTTTCCAACACCTACGATTGGTAGGAATGGGTGTAGTTATGTAGTATGTATTAGTTATTATATTGTTTAAGTTTATTAGTATGTATTAGGAACAAAAACAGATGTTAACAACTATAGACCAATATCAATAATATCCAGTGTAGCAAAAGTTTTTGAAAAAGTTTTATCTACTAGAATGATGCGATACCTCACAAAATTCAAAATTTTAAGTGAAAATCAATATGGATTTACAGAAGGGAAGGCTACATCGGACGCAATAACCAAAATTGTAAATAAAATACATCAAAGTATTGATAACAGAATCCCTTCAATCTGCATTTTGGTTGATTTAAAGAAAGCTTTCGACACAGTTAATCACAAATTATTATTAGAAGCATTGGAGAGAATTGGTTTCCGAGGAAACGCGTACTCACTGATCGAAAATTATTTGTCAAATCGCCCACAATCTGTGCAGATATGAGGATCGTTTAGTAAAGAAATGTATATTAAGTGTGGTGTCCCACAAGGAACTGTCTTAGGTCCACTGGTATTCAATATATATTTAAATGATATTTTCCAAATTAATTGTGTTGGCAAAATAACCAGTTTTGCAGATGATACTGCAATATTATATGAAGGCACTGACTGGTCTGATCTGAAAAATGTAATTGAAAATGATATTATAAAAATTATTCGGTGGTTTAATAGTAGAAAATTAAGCATTAACTATTCTAAAACACATTTTTTACCATTTGGATCTTATGCTAGACATCTGCTAAACTACACAAATTTCTCCTTAAACACTAATGATTAAAAAATGCAAATTAATAGAGTGCCCAACATAAAATACCTTGGAGTGGTCTTGGATCCTCACTTACGTTGGGTCATCCATGTCAATTATATTTTAAAGAAAGTTAGATTTGTATCCTACAAAATTAAATACCTTGGGAATATATTGACAGAGAAATATCTTCGAACATTATACCATGCACTAATTGAGCCTCAGCTCACATATGGTATATTAGCATGGGGAGCTGCATATTCCTCACATATCTATAATTTAGATGTTTTTCAAAAAAGTATTCTAAAAATGATGTTTAAAAAACCGAAACTGTATCCCACTGACAAATTATACGCAGATGTTCGAATGTATCATATAAGACAGCTTTATTTCTTACACAGTATCACTCGCTACCATCAATTTGTAAACCCCGACCAAAAAATTAAACATAATCATTATACAAGGTACAAAATTCGTGGCACAGTAGTTCCTCAGTATCACCTAAATCTATAATGCAGCGGTCATATCTCTATTTAGCGCCAAAATTTACGTTTCGGAAATTGTTTCAAAAGAAATTTAAAAAAGTGGCTACATTCTATATCGAGGATTGAAATTCATAAACTCATAAATACGAACATCAAGTAAATACATAATCTACTGTAGCTAATTTTTTGTCATTTGCATTCTACAGTTGCAACTTAAAATTATTGGTCCATGTACAGGCGATGCCTTCTATTGGGCCTGTTATGATTTTATATTTATTTACTCATGTTGTTTATCTTTGTACATTGAGTGAATAAATATTATTATTATTATTAGTCAAATTATCAAAGTAGCTCAACACACTGAAAAGGTTGGCGACTACTGTATTAGAGTATTGAGGGACCTTTACTTGGGTGACAAAAGAAACTAGAAAGTGAATGCAATCTCTGTTCGCAACTAAGACACTTAAGAAACTTTCAGGAAAAAATACGTAGTTACTAAAATTATCATTTATAACATTAAATGATTATTATATTTGACCTAAATCGGTTTAATGTGTAGATAGGGATTAAACGCTTCTATCGTGAAGTTTTTGCTCAATAGGTACCTATTTTCTCTTCTCCACAAATTCATACTTTGGCGGTTTCTGGATCCTATCCGTGATCTCTGTAGCCTAATATATTTATTTGCAGCAAAAAATCTTTTAAATAAAGATCTATACTTTGGTACACGAGCTCCTCAATGTATGTCCAAACCTCGAAAACCAATTGAATTCCCACGCATTTATTATATAGATTTTTATTACTTAGACTTGAATGCCCAGTTGCGGGTGACTTGAAAAAATTACAGAAACTGATAAATCTCAACAACTTTAGATTTTCGCAGTACATATAAATGGTGAAATGTATTGCATTTGAGGCACACAACATCTCTATCAAGTTCTGGAATGAATACGGTAAATTATCAGTAGCCCTCTATAAAAATGTATTTAAATTTCTTTGGATACCATGTTTAACTTCGAATCAGTGCTCGTTAATAAATGCCGTTATATGATGAGTAGACTCATATCGAATCACTTGTTGCAACTTTATAGCGTCAATTTAGTACTCAATCAGATAGTATGTCGTTAGCAAGCTTGTTAACTCAGTCTATTTCCATCTCGTCATCCGCGAACCGCTCTTTCAAATCTGGGAAACGATCATTATCTAAATAATAAGCTTTTATTCAAATTAGTTGCTAATTATCAGGTACATTTTAATAGTGTTTGTAGTATGTGTGTATACATACCTATGTAATAAGCTTGTATTTTTCAAGCGAAATGTTTTATTAGTTTGTAGTCAGTTATTATGAAGAAAACGTTCGCTTCGGTCAGCAGGGAATCTTCCATCTTTTTTCGAGGTAATATCAATATTTTGGCCCCCGGATCGACTTTTGACACATATGGGACAAAGACAGCGGATTGTACTTGACATCGACAGTTTGGCGTGAATTGTAAGATCAGGTTCTGTCCGTATCTAAAGTAAAAATTGATTCCTGTGCGCTGATTTCTCTTTCGGTGATTTGAATGAGTTTTAATTCCTTTTTTCGGCACTGGAAATGAAGTAACTTTGATAAACCTGCTGGTTTTTGAAAACTGGTTCAGTTGCTGCGGAGTTGGAGGCAGAAAGGGAAAAAATAAATATCACTCAAACTTCGTTTTGACGTATGAAAGACTCCTGATCATTTTCAGAAAACCTTTTTGTAATTGGGGGTTGTAGGGGCTGGGGGAGGGTATATCTCAATTTTTTGATGTTAGTATATTTATACGCTTCCAACTCTGGTAATTTACACATTTTACACATCATACATTCTCCCGCACATTTGCCCTTAAAACTCAATGATATTTATAGACGATTCTCGTGCATTTGTCGCGGGTTTCCTTCCTTCGTGGAACAAGCCCCGCCTACGTATGACTGCATCGCTGGGGTTCTCGATCTCGAGTTATAGGCGCGGTGGTCGTCCAAGGATTCATGTTCAGGAAGATGTTGACCTTGAACAAGGTGATCGAGTTTATTCATATGCAGGTTGGATTGAGAATAATGGAAGATGGGATTCATCTAATAACTATCAACATTTAGAAGATTATTGTACATCAGTATCGGACGTCGTACTGTAGTCAAAATTACCTTACAAAAACGATAATCATCGTACGTCTGCTAGCGCCGAGTTATAGTATCATGGTTGGAGCTTATGGCATGGTTGACTAGTTCGGTTCAGCATCGATGTCGGATGAGCGATACTTCCGGTAGGGCTAAAAAGATAATGTTTTAAATTGTACCCTGTCAATTTCATTATGCCATCTTGAAAACTGACCTTTATATTTTGAAATAATGATTGAGAAATAATTAATGTTGAATATAGCTCCTCATTGTGTATACCCTAATAATCGGTATAATGTTGGAAAATTAAATCGACTGTCTGTTGCATTCATTAATTCAAGTTTATCAGTTTGAGACCAGCCAACTAGTTTTTTTTGAGCTATTTGTAAAATGGGTTGGCCATGATGTAAAATCGAATATTTTGTGATATATAGTGTTAGTAGTGAAAAAAATTCTATACATTCCTCGTTTGAGAAGGTCACGCGCCTCAGGCTATATGAGTGCTTGCCCAATACTAGCTTAGTTTTAAAACTATTTATGTACTATTTTTGATAAGAAAAACGAGGAAATGAAGGTAAACTACATCTACTTCAGCTATTAAAAGAGTTTGACGTAAAATGCCTTTTGTGGTAGAAAATACTCCGTTGCAGTATTAAAATATGTTTCAATACTAATAAATAATCTTTGCATTGTTTCTAGAATCCCCCATGATAAACAGGAATACTTTTTGATGGGAAGTCTATATAACAAATCAACTCTGTTTTGTGTGGCCATTTTAAGAAAATAGATTTAATTCCGTTTATAAACAAAATACTTAAAAGTAGTATTTTGTAAATGGATTTATGTACATGAAGTTTTAGGACTTACCACTAATTTAATACTTGGCTACAAATAAATATTTGTGATATATTTGATATTTGGCCATCATCTTTCACAACGCGGTAAGTTTGGCAAAATTGACTAGGACTGTATTTCTGTACTGTGTAGGACTTACATTTCATAAACGTTTACGAAAACATGATTATCAAAAGTATGAGATCTCACTGAGATTAAAAGATATTCAATTTTGGCAACCAATTCCATTCCTAAACAAACTTTTCTTTCAAACATCTGCCGAGGCAGTTAAGATCTTGAACTCGATTTACGTAACATTACTATTATAACGTCAGTCCTGACGTACGATCTTTCATTCCTACGCGCTTATTTGCTCACCATTTATAGGCGATTCTCTCAATTATATGGATCTACTATTCATTTTATTTCAACAAAACAGTTGTTAAGCTCAAATTCTATATAAACTGGTT